CAAATTGAAACAATTTCCACATAAATCATAAGATCTAAAACTAAAGATACAACATGTCAGGCACTAGCTAGGTTTGTTGGATGCCAATCTCTTCATCAAGGTTTTCTTGCTGAGCTTTTGAGGGACTGTGAGGTTCCCTACAGTCCAGTTTAGAAATCAGTGGCTTAAGACAATGCCGTTAGCTCTTGTACAAAATGAGATATCGATTCTGGACTTACACCTCAGTGTGTTACAACTGCATTTTGCCAGCCCACTTGTATTAATGGTCACCACCATGCAAATACAGACATCACTTTACATTTGGTCCTGGTGATTGGATGGCGAGCACTAAAACTGTAGCTTTTCACAATACGGAAACTGAAGCACAAGAGATCAACTGGGAAAGGGTTCTAAAAAATGTAATTGTTCTATGGACACTTAGTCGGTGGCTTATGTTGTGCATCATATAACTGGCCTATTTTTTGCCTGGCTCCACCTCTCCTCTCATTTGCTATCACACGTACCACGTTCTGCTCAATTTACAATCCCTCGACATCCCTATGGCAACTGCAGCAGCTGTTTACATGGCAACGCAATAGGAAAATATTTAATGTATTTTTAACTCCACTTTAATGGAATTTAGCAGCTGGATACACGATGGCGAGTCAGCACCATATGACTGAGACAGCTAGCTTTTTCACCTCAGCCATCAGTACACTCTTAGAGAACTATGCTCCACAAGCCAGGAGTTATTGTTGGGTGGATATCCTTGGAACATGACAATATCCATGCACAGCAGAAAGCTACCAAACACATTGGGATTTGGTGTGCACCCCAGTCCAGTTTTCATACCATCTGTGATATGAGAGACTGTATACAGTTCCGTCTTTCAATACATCTATGGCCCCATAATGCACTCTGTGTAGGGCTGCATTTGAAAAGTGCTCAAAACTCAAATTAGTATAAAATCCTCCAGCCAGACACTTTGATTCCATCATGCTAATTTCGTGTGACCTGCACTGGCTGCTAGTTTGTATCTGGACTCAGTTCAAGGTGCTGTTAACCTTTAAGGCTCTAGATGGCTTGGGACCGGGGGACTTGTATGTTCCTTCCCACATGCTCCAATCCTCATCTGAGGCTCTGATCCAGATCCTTTGACCTTATGAGGCACAGCTGACAGCAATCAGGGCTAGGGCATTTTCTGTGGTGGCACCCAGCCTATGGAATACTATACCCCTGGGCTGTTTAACAAGTCCTTTGACTAAATTCATTCATTTTTAGTGGTTAGCTGCATTTGAATTATTACTTCAAAGAATCCTGGGGCCTGTAGTTTACCTCTCTCAGAACTGTAACTCCCAGCACCCTTAACAAACAACAATTCCCAGGTTTCGGGTGGGTGGGTGTGCTTAAAGGAATAGTGCATAAACAGCTCCTAGCTTAAGATGAATACCAATACAAGTTGTATGAATTTCAAGCTAGTTTTTCCTTCTCCCTTCCATCCAAGACAATGAAACTATGGATAACTCATTTTGTGACATTTTGGTTGATATTAACAAGGAAACTGCCATACTATGTATTTCGGAACATAATCACGAAATCACATTATTAAAGACTTGGGCATTTAGAAAAGAGAAAAATCCATTTTACAGATCGGCAGAGAATCTGTAGCCTGAAATACATCCGCGATTCCATAGCAGAGAACTCAAAAAGCCCCTGCAGAGCGGTCAAGAAAGTGAGCCAGTTTTCACATAAACAACTACCCATATATCCGTCAATCATTCAGACCCGCCCCGCCCCCGCGGCAGTAAACGGCGAGCGCTTTCTTCCTTCGCTCCGCGGCGCGAGCGAACAAGCCAATCAGAGTGCTCCGCCGCCCGCCGTCATCACGACGGCGATTTCGATTTCGCCGCCTCGCTAGCGTGCGCGTGCGCGCACCCACACGCCCTCCTCCGTTACCTGGGCTCATTTGCCCCAGAACGCATGCGTGCACAAGGCGCGCATGCGTAAAAGAAGGGGGAGATGGGGGAACCACTTAAAAATAACGAACTTTTTAAAAGGACGGCCGAGCGGGGGCGGGAAAAGCAGTTTTCGCTTCTCTGGGCCACACCGACGAGTGGGGGGGGGGACGGGGGACAGACTCCTGAAAACCGGCCGGGCTAGGCAGTCAGGTAGCCACCCTGAAAGGTGAGTTCACCTCTTGGAGCCAAACGCCTCACAAGACACACCTGTTGCATCTCCTCACACATTGGCGGTGGGCGGGGAGGGATGCAGGCAGAAGTGGCCACGGCTGTGTTGCAGATAAAATAAACACTGGGCGGATCCAAAGTGCAAGAAGGCTCTTTTTTAAAGGTGGACTTCAGTGGGGGGTTGGGAGGAACCCCTCCCTCCCCCCAAAGCCTCGGAAACATATTCACCTGTAACCACGTAGCCCGACGTATGCAGTGCTTGGCTTACAGTCGCCCATGTGTGTTAGCCGAAGGTTGGGTGGCTTATTAGCCTTTGCCGCCCTTTTCCTGTCCCTGCCTGTTTCCAGCAGCTGTTCAGCAAGGGGAAGTTTTTGGCTCGCATCAAGCGGGGAATTGTTAGGTTTCCCTGCTCGTTTCCCAGCTGCTAAAGGCCTGGCACCCAAACAGAAGAGAGTCGCCCAGGTTGGAGAGGCTCAGGTACTTAACACACGATGAGTTTGTTCTTCAAAAACTCACTGACACATCCTTAATCCTTAAAACTAAACAGGAATAAGCATAAATAGGTGCAAAAACTATTTATTCCTTGATCAGTATGCCTTAATCTGTTATAAGGATGTGATGTTAACTTGTCTTTTAGGAGGATTATTTTATTTCTTTCAGATTATTTTATTTCTTTCAGAAAATGTGTATACTGCTTGATTGTAAAAACAACAACAACAACCCTCAAAGTGCTTTACAAATGATAAAACCTTAAAATTGAGGGGAGGGAAAACAACTCTACTTTAAAACAGACAAAAGTTAAAATACTAAAACAGATTACAATTACCTCAACTTTCTAAGCATAGTGATTCTTCATAATCTTAGACCTATTCCATTTTTCTCCCTTGGTGTTTTCCTAATATGTTCTCAAATGAAATATCTTTATATTGAAATTTTGTAGCCAGATCAAACCTTCTTTGCTTGTGGTCTGAGGCCTTTGCAAAAATTCAAACAAAGATATACAATAAGTCATTTATAAATAAAAATGTATTATGCTATGTATGCTATGTATTATGCTATGGATGTTAAACACACTCAATATAAGCCAGAATCAAGGATAAAAAGGAATAAAATAAAGGATAATAAAACCATCACACCAGGGCATCATCATTACTGTTTATACCTATCTCTAAAATCTCTCCTACTCTGATACTTGTGAAGCAGCCAGTGCAAAAAGGGTCATGAGAGATGAGTTAACCTGGCTTCCAAGTGAGAAGTGGTAGGTTGGGAAGCTGTATCAGTGGCAAGGGCATGAATGCAACTCCTTGGGTGCATGTCCAGTATGATTGGTGGTTATTTTATGTTTTAATTGTATTCAAGGTGTGTTTGTTGTATATTTCTTTGGTATTAATATGCTTCTCACTGCTTTAGGTTCCTTTGACCCGAAAAGCAGTATATAAATGAACGACAGCATTACATCAGAATTTCTGAAGAAATACTGTGGGGGTTTTTCAGGAAGTAAGGTGGAAAACTCTAGAATCTGAATTGAGAACTGCAGCCATTTTGTTGAGGCATAAAGCAGAGAAAGGGAGAAAAAATGCCAGTTCTGAAGCCTGTAGTAAAAATGAAAGTGGACGAACTCTTTTTGCGCTGGTTGAGTGATGCCTCAACTCAGGTGATGCTCAAGGACTGCTTAAGAAGTATAACTAACAAGGAGAAGATTGAAATCGGTAGTGGTGATGCTCGGAACAATGAACATATTCTTGGCCATATAAATTGTGTCTCGAAGCAAAGCATGCTGGGGAATTTGATGTCTACTTTGACTACTACAAGCCCTCCTCATCTGTCTACTGCTCTCCCACTGGGGACGCCAACAAGCCCAAGGAGCTTTTCTAATATTCGAGGTAAACGCAGATCTTCAAGCACCAAAAGTGTAAGTGGTTTTTTGCTATTTGGGCAGGTAAGCCCATTTAAGCCCATTTAAGATAAGCTATGAATGTTTGCTTTATAGTACTCACCAATTTTTGTCATTTTGGACACAAATAAGGGCTGTAAAGGTTAGTTTCATCTGCTGTGAGCTACACATGGTTTACTAGTGCAATGAACATTTAACCCCAAATCAATAATAAAATGGCCTTGTAGGTATCATAGAGTGCAAGAATCTTCTTTGTTTTTGAAAAAAATAACCTTTTAAAATAAAATCTAGATGTGACTTGAGCATGTTGGTCTGTAGGAAATTCCATGCAGCTGTTTTTCCCCATTATAAACTGGAAATGAGGGCTCATCCAGATTTTCACTTGTCCTGCTGCATTCCCTTGGGGAAACCTGATCTTTACCAATGAATTGAACCAAAGGTCAGTTGGTTTTTTTGCAGATTGATGTTTGCTCCAATTCAGTTCTGTAAAGAGCACATTTTCCCTGGGAAAGCGGTGTAGCAAACTGAAAAGAGCTGCTCAGGCCCATACTTTCTAGACATGGGAAAAGCAGAAATCATAAAAGTATCTTATGGGGGAAAATAGTGACTATTATGCGTGTTTGGTGTTACTACAATTGGTTTTGTAACAAACAATAGAAGTGACTTTTAAGTGCTCAACCCTATAACTGGTAAACATTTAGGTAGTGAGGTTGTGGGGTATCAGCAGTTGTTCCAGCATATCACTAGCAGACATGGAAATGCTTATGATGAATCACTAATATGAAATAAGTTTCATTGCTGATGGCAGTAGCACTGGGTTGCTTCCAACTGAACCTTATTCAGCCTAGGTTAATTTCAATGGTTCTAACTGTCATGTTTATTATCACCAATGTGTCTGCTCTTGAGCAGAGCTAGCGTTGACTTCCACCTATTGTATTGGCTGTCTTCTGTCTTCCTTTATTGTTATGTTGAACTTCAGTTTTTTACACTCTAGCAGAGCAAAGAACCTAACAGCTGTGGCAGTATTCAGAATGCCATGCAGCTGATACCATTTCCTCAGTTCCTTCAGATATGAGCTATTTATAGCCTGTGGATTTATTTATTTATTGTAGTTGTCAGCACTTGCTCCCTTGTATGGCACCTTGCATCAGCTGTTAATGGTCTCTGTCTAATGAATAGCATACCAGGCATCACTGATGGTACAGAACCACAAGCATGGCTTCATTAGTGACTTTGTTTTTAATGAACGTTCTTTGCTTGTTAGGGCTTCCTCCATTCACAAAGGACTTCAAATAGTGTGGAATGCTGTAAATGAAAACCAGAATTAGAGCTTATTTTATTACTATGTCTACTGTTTCTAACTGTAGTATTCACATATTAAGAATGATACACTGTGAAATAATATCCCGAAACACTCTTTGAAATATGAAGTGCCTTGATTTCATGGACTGTAGTTTTGATATTTATCTTGTAAAAGATCAGTATGATGATGATTTTATGTAGAGCATTTGTACCTCAATCTTCAACTAAAAGGGTTTCCAGGATGGCTTACATGCAGTCAATAAAAACAAGGCTGTTCCTGCCTTAAGGCTTACAATATATAATATAAAAAAGCAAAACACAAGGGGGAAGGGACAGGAAAGGAAGAGGAAAAATCAAACTCAAGTACTAGTTCTTAAACAGTTGTTTTTATATTTAGCAACTGACCAGTACTCTATGTTATAAGCTGACAACCAGTTTCATAATGCCACTTTACTTTCTAGGGCATGGGTGGGGAAACTGTGACCCTCCAGGGTGGCTGCAAGAGTACTTTGACATAGAACCCACAGTTCGCACACTGTCTTGTTGCGTGGGGACAGGGAGCAAGGCCAAAGCTTTTTTTGTTTAAATTTCTAACCCACCTCTTATTAAGGTCCTGAGGAGAAACAGTAATTTGGAAAAATATAATCATATCTAGCCCCAGCCAATAGAAAACTACTTAATTTTTTCTCTCTCTCTTCCAATGAGCTTGTCCCGGAAACAATCAATACCAAAAATGTGCCTCCGTTTTCTCCTTCAGTTTATATGCTGATGGTTTGAACGGTAGCAACAGTCCTGATAGCACCTTGTCTAGTTCTGGTATTGCAGATACCTTGACAAAGTGCTAGGGTGCTGCTGGGCTAGTGGAGGCTGCTATGAAGCTGCAAATGGTGCAAATTAGTGTGATAGTACAGTATGTGAGCATTCAAAATGTAATCTCTTGGGAGTAAAACCTGCTGATTAGTTACAGTATTCTTGTAAGCGTTGAGGGGCTTATGGGAGGAAAATGCAAAGGGGAAAATACACAATTGGGGCATGTTTGTGTAAGTACAGTGGTGCCTCGCAAGACGAAATTAATTCGTTCCGCAAGTCTCTTCGTCTTGCGGTTTTTTCGTCTTGCGATGCACGGTTTCCCATAGGAATGCATTGAAAATCAATTAATGCGTTCCTAGGGAAACCGCCTTCAGACCAGGTCCGGGGACAGTCTGTCCCCCGACCTCTTCTGAAGGCTGGGGGGGGGGACAAGGGCTTTTCTTCCCACTGCCAGCCTTCAGAAGGCTGTTCTGAAGGCTGGCGGTGGGAAGAAAAGCCCTTCTTCCCACCTCCCGCCCCGCAAGCTCCGGGGACAGGAGGGCTTTGCTGCCGACCGCCAGCATTTTAAAAGCCCCTGCTGTCCCGGGGCGATTTTAAAATGCTGGCGGGCGGGAGCGAAGTCTCCGCTGCCCCGGGGAGATTTTAAAATGCTGGGGGTCGGCAGCGAACGCTTCGCTCCCGCCCGCAAGCATTTTAAGATCGCCCGGGGCAGCGGAGAAGTCTCCGCTGTCCCGGGAAGGCAGGCGGGGGGAGCAAAGACTTTTGCCCCCGCCTGCCTTCAGAAGAGGTCCAGGACCTCGTTCAGATGCCCGGCGGCGGGGTGCGAGGTTCCCGACCCACCGCCCGGCATCGGGGCATCGTTCCGATGCCCGGCGGCGGGGTGAGAGGTTCCCGCCCCCCCGCCCCGCTTCGGAGCAGCGTTCCGAAGCGGGGCGGCTGGGGCAGGTGTTCCCGCCCCCCCGCCCCGCTTCGGAGCAGCGTTCCGAAGCGGGGCGGCTGGGGCAGGTGTTCCCGCCCCCCCCGCCCCGCTTCGGAGCAGCGTTCCGAAGCGGGGCGGCTGGGGCAGGTGTTCCCGCCCCCCCCCCCGCCCCGCTTCGGAGCAGCGTTCCGAAGCGGGGCGGCTGGGGCAGGTGTTCCCGCCCCCCCGCCCCGCTTCGGAGCACCGGGAGAAGCGATCTCCCCGCAGCCCCTTGCTTCAAAAGAGGTCCGGGGGCAGCGGGGAAGAAGCGCTGCGCTTCCCGCTGCCCCCGGACCTCTTTTGAAGCAAGGGGCTGCGGGGAGATCGCTTTTCCCCGCAAACCCTTGCTTCAAAAGAGGTCCGGGGGCAGCGCGAAGCGCTTCCCGCTGTCCCCGGACCTCTTTTGAAGCAAGGGGCGGTGGGGAGAAGCGATCTCCCCGCAGCCCCTTGCTTCAAAAGAGGTCCGGGGGCAGCGGGAAGCGCTTCCCGCTGTCCCCGGACCTGGGGCTGCGGGGAGAAGATCGCTTCTCCCCGCCGCCCCTTGCTTCAAAAGAGAAGACCCGCTGTCCCCTGGGCAAGCTTCGTTTTGCGAAGCAAGCCCATAGGGAAATTCGTCTTGCGAGGCAACTCGAAAACGAAAAAACCTTTCGTTTTGCGAGTTTTTCGTCTCGCGAGGCGTTCATCTTGTGGGGTACCACTGTATAGAATGGATATAAGCATATTTCCCATATGCAGTATTTATAAGCACTACATGTAATCAGTCCCTATTCCAGCTATTTCCATGTAATCATGCATTCACTTAAGACATTTAAAACGGCCCTTGGAGCAACTTACAAACATCAGTACTAAAACAGTCTCCGCTGTCAGACTTACAACCTAAACAAGACATAACACACAAGCAGGTGGATATAGTTGCACTGCTTATAACAGTTATATAGCTCTGTCTATGCAGTTCTGGCTATTTAGAAAAGAAGCAGCTCCTTGCTAATGTCAGTTGCAGTTCTGACATTGCACAAACTTCTAATTGTGGTGTATATATCTCTTATTTGGCTTGTATTTCCTTAACCTTTTTGTCACACACACACACACACACACACCCTGGAATGTTTAGGCTTAGAATAAACCTTCCATTGGAGACAACAGAACACTTTTCCCCCAAGCCCAATTGCAATGAGAGAGGGAGGATTAATTGTTACCTCCCTACTTGGGACCCTCAAAGTTGTCCCTTCCCTGTTGCAATTAGGCTTGAAAGAAGCCTTTTAAAAATAGCTAGTAGATGGGCTTTTTCAAGCCTAATATCAATGGAGGAAGGATGGGGGGGGGGACCCTGCAGGTGTCAAAGAAGACCTCTGCAGACAGACATGTGTCAATGGGTACCATACTAATGACTTGCCCTGTGCCATATCCAGTTGAGAAGAGTGACAGGAAGCATTTTGAGTTAAACCTTGAAGGAGAGTGTTAGATTGGGAGAAGTGTTCTGGCCATGCTCTTCAAACTTAGGATGGTGGATACTGAGCCATAAATAAGTTTGCGTTTAATTAAAAATTTTCATCCCAGTGGCAATGGGAATTCATACCTTTCTTATGAAATATAGCTTATGTGAACAGTTGTCTTCAAGGGCAAGCATCAAATTCCTCCTGCTAATCATCTTGCTAAAAATAGATCTTCTATTCTTAAAGATACATGTTTGCTATCCCTGTTCATCATGCTAAAGAGATCCCAGTGTAAGCAAGAAAAACTGTTGTATATCCACAATGCGGGCGACAAAGCACAAGTGGTAAGCCAAGACAAACTTTGGTTGTAGCTCATGATTTGTTCAGAGCAACACAAACCTTGAGTCTGGTTTCAGATGTAAACTGACTTAGCTCCCAATAGCAAGGCAGGAGTGAAGCAGCCACAATTTTCTTGTTGTGCTCCAGCACACTTGCTTATTCATGCTACACTATAGTTTGCCATACCATTACAATCAGGCCAGGCCATAGTATTGTAAATGTTTAGGATTGTGGTTTGTTTTTATCAACTTCTAGAAATTAGGAAAATTACATTTTCTAGATGCTGGTTGAATCCAAAAGGTTCTTTGGACAATCAGGGTGAGGGTGTGTGTGTGTCGACAATTCTGCTAATTTTCCACCCAGCTCTTGCCATTCTGGAGGGGCCCCAAGCAGATTTATAAAGGAAGATATAAGGACTACATCACGAAGGAGGAATAAAGTCCCATTGTATTAGCAGAACATTGCTTATGGTTCTTAAGTGCTAAGACATAATTTGTTTTTTTCATAATGTATAAACTGTTGTACTTCCAGAGAATACTCCAAGCAGTGTACAGAAATAGAATTTAAAACACAATACTGTTCATAGAATTGTTGAAACATAAAAACCAATACATTTTTTTAGAAGGCTTGTGAGAAAAGAAAGGTTTTCAACAAACATATACCATGTACTTCAACTTACCAAACTAGCATCTTCTATTCATTACTCTATTTCATATAGAGTCCTTTTCATATTTCATTGAGACAAAGGAAAGCTGTGCTTGAGCTTCTAAAATGCAGGAGCCCTGCTAGGGGAACGGATATTATTATTATTATTAATATTTCTTACTCGATTAACATACAACCACTTGTTTTGTGGGGCAGGGGGATAATATCGCTATGACTGCACTTCTGGTTGTGTGCAATTGGTTGGCCCTGTTCTAAATAGTGTCTACATAGTATGTTGGGCATTCCCTGCTCATGTTCTGCAATTCTGGTGCACTCAGCTTTTAAAGCTGCACAGAAGTATTATGTGTGGCTTTTTAAAAGCTGACTTTGCATTCCAGGCTTCCATTCCCTAAATTGCAGTAACTCCATGGAAGCAGCAGAACAGAACGTACAGGAAATGGTTCTGACGCTATAATTAAAGTGAGACTCTGAAGGCCAAAACTGCAAGTTTTGCAGGGCAATCCTATACATGTCTGTTCAGAAGTGTTACTTATATTAAGGTGGTACCTGTGCAATTTATCATAATATAGTTTCCCCCAAAAAAGCTTTATTTTCAGTAAAAACTTTTTTGAAAGGATTAGTTAAAAAACAAGACAGATTATTTATGATGAATTGCCTTGATATGTCTGTGTCTTGATTTATGTCTATGCTTAAAAGCAGGCATTGAGGAAACTATGCAGTGTTAGAAACTGAGATATGAAAGCTAGGAGCTACCCAGTAAGTGGCACCTTAAGCCTAGGTTATGGGCGCAACAACGCAATGTCTAGGCACACTTTTTTATAAGAAGAATACAAGGCTGAAATGAATGAACTGCAGGCCTTAACTTCAGCCACTTTTGTCCGTTGATTTGTCTTGCCAATGCTTGCATTTCTTAGTTCATTCTTTTTTCTGGTAAAGTTTTTCTGAGTTCTTTCTTTGCCTCCAGATAGGATATTCTTTGGTCTTTCATAGATTTAATTCCTTTCCTTGGGATGCTGTCAGAGAGTATAGAACCCAGATGAATTCTCATCCACACTGAGTTCTTCTGTGAATATTTCCCTCCCATTTATTGGCTGTTTTGTGTTAGATATCTGTTGGAAGGAATCCAGAATTATCTGCCTACTTGCGTGATTATCATATAATTTTGAGCATAATGCCATTTCCTTCAGTATGAAAGTTGACTTTAAAGGGACCTCTTTTTAAGGTGTCCCCTCCCTCCCTTGCCAGAGATGCTTCCTGTGGGTGTAATAGTGAGGAGACATTGTTAGGGTTCACTGAGGAGCGTTTCAGGCCCAATGCCTGGGTCTGGCTCTTTAATGATATTTTGCAATTATAGTTTATATACACAGACTGATGTGCAGGCTTGCTACAAAATGTTGCCTGGCTTTATTTATTTCATTACATTTGGATCCCACCTTTTATCCAGGGAGCTTAAGGTGGCATACATGGTTCTCTCCCTCTCCCTATTTCATCCTCACAACAACCCTGTGAGGTAAGTTAGGCTGAGAGACAGTGACTGGCCCAAGGTCACCCAGGGAGCTTCATGGCAGTGTTAGAAACTGCACCTTAAACCTAGGTTATGGGCACAAGAATGGAATGTCTAGGCACACTTTTTTAATAACAAGAATACAAAGCTGAAAATGAATGAACTGCAACTAAAATATTATGTTTATTTTTCACATGGTCTAGTCCTTCCCCTGCCCACCCCCCTAATATTCTTAAAAGGGTCTCTTCTCTAGTCTTCATGGAGTAGCTGGAAGTGGGGAGGCAGAAAAAGTTCTTCCTTTCCTTCCACTCTGCAGTTTTAATCTGAAATCTTAGATGCAGTACTGCACCCAGAGCTCAGAAACTGCTAGCGCTAATTAAATTCCCTGTTGCAAAATGTGCATAGAACAATGGGAGTTTTGAACACTGGTTCAAAATGTCACAATTGAAAAGGACCTTTCTCTTGTCTTCACCAGCAGACATCTGTCAGCAGAAAGATGGCAAGAAGGATCTAGAAGTTGAGTGAGATTTTTAAACAGGCAAATATGCTTCCTTCTGGAAGCAAATTCCAATACAACATGTTTTCAAAATCCTCAATATCAGGTTATCAGTGTGAAAAATATTGGTGCCTAAAACTGACCACTCAAACCAATTGTGTGTGGGAAAAGAAGTACCGTATTTTTCACCCCATAGGACGCACTTTTTCCCCTCCAAAAATGAAGGGGAAATGTGTGTGCTTCCTATGGGGCAAATGCAGGCTTTCGCTGAAGCCTGGAGAGTGAGAGGGGTCGGTGTGCACTGACCCCTCTCGCTCTCCAGGCTTCGCGCAGCTCTCCGCAAGGCGCGGGAGCCCGGCGCCGGGCTCCCACGGCTTGCGGAGAGTTGCCTGTTCTGGGGGCTGGGGTCAGGGGAAGCTCGGGCTTCCCCAGCCCCACGCCTGGGGGGGAAATAATTTTTTCCCCCTTTATTTCCCCCCAAAAAACTAGGTGCGCCTTATGGGACGGTGCGTCCTATAGGGCGAAAAATACGGTAGTTGATTCAGCTCCCTTTCTGGGCCTGATGAGATGCTATGTATTCTACCAGCCTCTCCCTCTGTCAAGGAGAAACTAGAAGCAGGCATCAGGATCACAGAGACTCTTTTCTATGCCCTCACTGCAGGGAGACACAAACCTCCAAATTGTGGTTACAGTATTTAGTTGCAGGCTCTTTCTCAACATTAGGTTTTCTCCTCTATGTTTTAAAACCCTTGACACTCTCTTTCCTATGATGGATCTGTTTAGACGACAAAGATAACACAACATGCATCACCCAGGGAGGGTTTCCTTTCCCTTCCTAAACAGGGAGCTAGCTGGCCTTTGATAGACTTGTCTTTTCCTGCCTATTGCACTGCCATTATATGGAAATGATCAAGCAAGATAATCCCACAGTTATATTAGTTTGCTGGAGAATGAGAGTGACATAATTTTTCTTGAAGTTCTTTGGATTTTTCAGAAGAATTAGCAGCTGCTTTCCAGTTACTTCAATAACTCTCATTCTACTCAACAGGATATAATTTAACAGGCTGTACCTTCAACAACTTTTCATTGAGCATAAGGAAAACCTTAAAGTTTGTTTTGCATATTAAATTCTTGCTTTTACAAGCTACTCTTCTGGATTAAGTGAAATCTCACTGTCTGCTAAAGCAGTACAGTCACCCTGCAACTTAGAAGCATTTAAGTTGTGCACATTCAGCTTTACGTTCTTGACAATTTTTTATTTTTTTTAATTAGAAAGAGGGCATGTGTCAGGGGCAAAAAGAATTTGGCAGTCCCATTGAATCCAATGTATTTTGACTACACACAGTTGCAGCTTTAGGCACAATCTCCAGAATGTAACCCCCATGTAAGTTGCAGGCTTACTGTATAGGGATTGGAACCAGATCCATTCTGCTAGTATTTTACTCTTAAGTCACAAATCTCAGCTATGCTTGTGTATATGCTTGCCAATTTGCTCCCCTTTCAGAAAGCTAAACTGTTCTTCCTGGCAGGGCTATCCCCATTAGCCAACCACCTAGGATGCCAGCATTTCAAAGTTGTCTGTCCCAGTTATGCTGTGGAGAGAGAGCCACTGCCTGTACTTTTGGCTGAGGTGAAGGCACACAGACTCAGCTCCTTGGCTGGGTGATATCCCTTGCATTCCAGGGGACACGATAGTGATCCTTCTGATCTTGATCAGCTGTCCAGGACATAGACACAGTTGTAAAGGAGAGGAAGTAAACAAGCAGCAGACAGCAAAAATGAATATGAGAAAGTACTGAATGGAATCTTCACAGTGTTCAATTGGGGCAGCCCTGCTCCCCACATTCAATTCTTCCCTCTAATACAAGGCTTCCAATTGGAAACAAACATTGGTTCCTCTTTTCTCCCTTTGCCTTCTCCTTTGCCTTCAAACGTTGCCCTTCAGAAATCCAGCCACTGCATGTCTCAGATATCCCTCCCACCCATGCCTCTCAAACTATTTTCACTTGCCTCCTGTGATTTCTTCTCCACATCTCCTTTCCAACCTAATTTCTAACTTCCTGGCCTACCTGGATGGTAAACGCTTCAAGTTTTTTATACTGAGCCCTTTGCTTTGAGAATCTTGCCTAGTAACAGCAACGCTCTAAACTTCCAGAGACTAACATTGGCCAGAATAATGCCTTTTAAATAAAAACTACACCAAGCATACTGGACATTTTCTTTGACCTAACAGCAAACCATTTCCCCTAAGAGATAGTAAGTACAAAAAGAAAAATATTTCCAGAAAACCAGCAAAGTGTATGCAAGAAAAGGCACAGCACCTTTCAACATGCTAGTGTCTCTCATCAACTGCTCAACCCATTCAAAATAATTCATTTCATATCCTGTCTAACCAAAATTGGCATGAACCATCCTCAAACATCTTTCTCTTACACTGTCAAGTTTCAAATCAGTCCGTTGGACCATTTTCTAACTAGAAGCCATAGAAGCTATTCCCTCCCTGATTTCTCATTATATTAATGGAATGTGATTCAGCTGACTCACTCTTAACATCAGGCCATCACTGATCTTACATAAGAAGAGTGCTGGATCAGGCCAGGCCTATCTATTTCACCTTTCTGTTCTCATAGCGGCTAGACAAGTGTCAGTTGAAAGGTTACAAACCCATGATCAGAATAGTTCTCCCCTGCCTATGAACCTCAGCAACAATCATTATCTACCATAAATTTATATAATCGTCCTCTAAAACCATTCAAGTTTGTGGCCATTGGTACATATTGTGGGAGGGAATTCCATAGTTCAACAATGTACCTATGAAGAATTGCTTCCTCGTCCTGAATTTCCTCTGTCATTTAGCTTCATAGGTTGTCCCCTAGTCCTAACATAATGAGAGGGGGAGAAAAATGTCTCAACAGGAATGGACACCACTACTTAGCACAGCATCTTAGGTTCAATTCTTGGTTTCTCCAGGTAGGGCTGGAAAAGACTCCTGTCTGAAACCCTGAAGAGCCAGTCAGTGTAGATACAGTGGTACCCCGGGTTACAGATGCTTCAGGTTACAGACTCTGCTAACCCAGAAATAGTACCTCGGGTTAATAACTTTGCTTCAGAATGAGAATAGAAATCGCATGGCGGCAGCAGGCCCCATTAGCTAAAGTGGTACCTCAGGTTAAGAACAGTTTCAGATTAAGAACGTACCTCCAGAACGAATTAAGTTCTTAACCCGAGGTACCACTGTATTACTGATTTAGTTGCACCAATGGTCTGACTCAGTATGAGGCAGCTTCCTAGCTTCTCCAAACCATACATAATTGTATACACCTCTATCATGTTCTTCCCCCACTCTTACTTGCCTTTTAAACACACATACACACACTTGTCACAAACTTTCTAGGAAGAATTCAGAAACATTTGATTTACTTGGTACTTTATTCCAATTTATATAGCATGGTACCCAACTAAGTGAGCAACAGAACTTCCCCTTCCTCTCCTCTGCCCCATGACCTCTCCAGATCTTCACTGTAGGGTTGCAGAACCCTCAAAACAAATACACAGGGATGGGAGAGGTAGGAGAGGTCCCATTACGTGGCCAGTAATCATTGCATCCCATTATTTTGTTGGATGGCATCCATAATATTTCCATTTTTGTGGCTGTATATGATATAGCCATTATGTGGTAACTGAAGATGCACACACACAAATTCAAATCCAATGTGTATAAATTACATATCAATATTTAGGGTAACCA